GCAACAGCCTGTATTGTTTTGGAGACCTCTGGGGCCTCCCTGACCAATAACTCATAGGACAGTATCCCACACCTAGCTATGAAATTCTTGTTTATAACCCAAGGCTTCTGGGATCAGCCCTGTCCACCCAAACGGGGTATTTCTGTTCAAATTCCTTTTTTCAATTATATGTTTTTAGTTAGCTCACAAACTGGTGGATTTCCACAAGACGTTTTCATATGCCCTCAGTTTGGGTTGATCCACACCCATCACCCGGCCCCCATTCCTGCTTAAACCTTTAACCTCCAGTAACCCCCCCGCCACTTAATATCACACATGGTACACTATCCCTACCCCCACCAAGGCCTCTTCCCTTCCCCTTTTTATGGGCTCCCTGACCTCTGCGGACACTCCAAGTTAGACACACAAATCTAAATGAAGCTGGGTTTCACATATGAGAGAAAACCTGTGGCCTCTGTCTTTCTGCGTCTGTGATATTTCACTGATTCACTTAGGATCACATCTTCCAGTTCTACCCGTTTCCCTACAACGTCCGTGATTTCATTTTCCTTTAGAGCTGAATAAAACCCCATTGTGTAAATGTACCGTGTTTTCATTATCCGTTCATCAGTTGATGGACGTCTGGCCTGATTCCACGTTTTGCTCTTGTGACTAGAGCAGCAGTGAACATGGATGAGCAGGTCTTTTCGCAGTAGGATATGGAGACCTTTGGGCAAATGCTCAGGATTGGTGTAGCTCAGTTATAAGGAAGTTCTGGTTTTTGCTTTTTGAGGACTGTCCACAGTGATGTCCACAGTGATGGCATCAGCTTATAGTTACCCTAACGGTGGGTAAGCGTTCCCCTTTCTCCACATCCTCACCAGAATTTACTGTCATTTGCTTTCTTGGTGATTAGTCATTTTTCCTGGGATGAGGTGGCATCTCAAGGTAGTTTTTATTTTTATTTCCCTGATGGCTAAGGATATTGAACATTCAAATAATATGCTTATTAGCTATTTGTATTTCTTCTGAGAACTCTCTGTTCAGGCCCATGGCCCATTTTGTGACTGGGTCACAACACTGTTAATTTATTTTTAATTTATTTATTTTTATGTGTATGAGTGTTTTGCCTGTGTGAATGTAAGTAAACCACATGTCTGAAATTCTATGGTGGCCAGAAGAAGGTGTTTGATCCCCTGGAACTGGAGTTACAGGTGGTTGTGAGCCACCATGTGGGTGCTGGGAACTGAACCTGGGTCCTCTGTAAAAGCAGTCAGCACTCTTAACTGCCGAGTCATCTCTCCAGTCCCAGCACTGTTGATTTAAACAGGCATCCAGCTTCACTTTTGAAGCCTTACTTATTGACCCTTGAGGTATCTACTCAAGGTTTTAACGACATGTATTTGGAGCACCACATAGAGCTGCAGCCATTCTTTAACAGCAAGATGGAATCAGAATCCAGCCACTTCCGGTTGTACAAAGAAAAAAAGAGCTGCATATGAGTGTGCAACAGGCAGAGGCTGATTCCTTCACCACCCACCCACTCATTCACCATCTACCCACGCATCAACCATACATTCATAATTTATCCATTCATCTGTCTATCCATTCATCAACTGTTCATTCACCTACTCACCCACCATCTATCTACCCATTATTCATAAAACCATGTATCATCCATGTATCTACCCACTCATACACCATCTAACATCCTTCCACCATCCACCCACCCACTCACCATCTATCCTTGTGTCAACCATACATCAACACACCATCTATTCATCCATCCACCATCCACCCATCCATCCACCCACCACCTCTCCACCCATTAGCCATAAAACCATTACCATCCATCTATCCAGCCAGCCATATATCCATCCAACCACCACCCACAATCCATATATACAACCACCAACCCATACACCATCCACCATCCTTCTACCGTCCACCCATCCATCCACAATTCATTCATCACCCATCATCCACCACTCACCCATCTGTAACAAAAGTATTCACTCAGCTTGTCATTGTTAGTGGCCTCTAAACACTCATTGAATCTCCGTGGCTCTCTCAGATAGGTACCACTGTTACTACCTTCTTTGGACATGCTAGGAAACTGAGGTATGGTGACTTATTCAAAGGCATCATGCTAGGATTTGACCTCAGGCTTACTGACTCCCTATTTCAGTGCTTGGGACCACTCCCCCTTGTAGAAACCAAATGGTTACAGGTGAGGTGGGTGACGCCACTATCGTTTTGTGATAGCTGGTTTCAAGGCATGGCAGGATTGCCCCCCCAGGCCTTTCACAGACCTCCGCAAACAGATGGGGATCTTTCTTAAAGAGCTTGGAGTTTGGACTTGGGATAGCCTTGGGAGTCCGTCTCCATGTAGAATTGGGGGAGGTTTACTTTGAGATAATTTGGGGACTTTTCCTGGAAGGGTCACGTGTTATCCATCAGAGTTTTGTATAGTCATGTCTGGGAACAAAACCACATTTCCTGTGTTTACTGAAACTGCTGTGTAGGATGAGCTAAGACCCAGGTCATTCATGGCCCAGGGCACATTCCAAGGGACCAGCTGCCTTGTCAGGAGTGGGGGCAGGTACCCCATGAAGATGTTGGTGTGGGGACCAGGTAGGAGCTATCCTTGATCCACTGTCTGAGCTGAGGGCAAGTAAGTAAAAATTGATGCGAATCTCCTTCAGAGAGATGAGAAGGGTAAACAGCCCAGTTGAAACTGATGGAGCCTAAGGCTAGAGTTCACCAGCACTATCACCACATCACCATTACCACCATTTACCACCATCATCATCATTACCATAATCACCATCACCACCACAATCATCATCATCACCACTATCATCATCACTATCATCACTACCATCATTACCATCACCATCATCATCACCACCAAAACCATCAAGATCACCTCCATCATCATTATCACCATCATCACCATCATCACCATCATCATCATTACCATCACCATCATCATCACCACCAAAACCATCAAGATCACCTCCATCATCATTATCACCATCATCACCATCATCACCATCATCATCATTACCATCATCATCATCATCATACCATCACCATCATCATCACCACCAAAACCATCAAGATCACCTCCATCATCATTATCACCATCATCACCATCATCACCATCATCATCATTACCATCACCATCATCATCACCACCAAAACCATCAAGATCACCTCCATCATCATTATCACCATCATCACCATCATCACCATCATCACCACCACCACCATCACCATGACCATCACTGTCACACTCTCATGGAAACGCGAGCGACTGCTCTGGTTGGAGCGCCTTTAAACGTCATGGTTCAAGTCTCTGCAGCAGCACCCACCATATCCACTGCACGGACAAGAAAACTGAGGCTGACCCGAATAGTTTTTCCCAAGCCGCACAGCTGGTGAAGCATTGAGTCTGGACCCAAACTAGGAGCTGTCTGAATCCAAACATCACCTGCATTGGGTCACACGCTAAGGTTTACAAACTAAGGTTGGGAGACGGTGTAGCTGCACAGCCATGTTTGCATAAGTGGCAGAGGCTCGAGGCTCATCTGGGTGGACAGTTTCTTGCCCTCCTTATTACAGGAGAGCTAAGCCACGGGCCCAGGCCACCTCCCTGTGCCTTCTGTAGCAATCTCCCATCTGTGGTCAGCACCCCCGAGTTCCAACCCCAGAGCCCATCCGAAAAGCCAGGTGTGATGGCTCACATGTGTAATCCCAGCGCTGGGGAGATGGAAGCGGAATCTCTGGGGCTCTCTGACCAGCCAGCCCAGCCGGCTCAGTGAGCTCCAGGCCGGTAAGAGACCACATCTCCCAAAACCAAGGTGGACAGCTGAATGACACTCAGTGTTGACTCCAGCCTCCACACACATGGGTACACAGGTGCATGCGCACCACGTGAAACACATGCACACAACTGAGCTCCCACCCACATGTGCATGCGCACACACACACACACACACACACACCAAACAAGCAGAAGAACATGGGTGGGGTCTGCCTTCCTCATCTCCCCTAGAGTTTCAGGAGGTTTGAGTGACAGCTAAGGATCGCATTTCCATCAAGGTAAGGTTCTCAACCATGAAATTTTGCCCACCCCCCATTTGGAAATGTAAATGTGGAGTTTGTCTCCAGCCTGAAGCCACAGGGAGCCCATGGAGTGACAAATGGTCTCCTTCCCTAGCTCAGCTTCCCACCCGTAAAATGGGCCCGAGACCGTGTCTCAAGCCTGAGGGAGGTGCCTAAAAGCACAATGTACCCTCAGAGCATTGCATGGGTTAATTTAAAAAATACTTTATGTATTTATTTATTTTATGTGTATGAGTGTATTGCCTGCGTGTATGTAAGTGCACCTGTGTTGTGCAACGTCTGTGGTCAGAAGAGAGTGTCAGATTCCCCTGGACTGGAGTTATAGATGGTCGTTAGCTGCAATGTAGGCACTGGGAATTGAACCTAGGTCCTCTGCAGGAGCAGCTGGTGCTAACCACTGAGTCATCTTTCCATCCCCTCGAATGGTATAAATTTTATGGGTATCAGTTAGCTGGTGAGCAGCCAGACCCTTATTCCTTTGCATCAACTTTGCCAGTCCCTCCTTCTGAGTTCCTAGCTCCATCTCTGTCATCGTAAAAGATGACCTTTCTGTGAACAAAGCTGTTCACGCGCTGCTCACGCGGCCTCTCCAGAAGCTTCCTGTAACCCCTCTCCCTTGCCTCTTTTTGGAGACCCGGGAATGGTTGCCAGCCCAGAGCCTGACAGGGCTGCCGAGGGGCCCTGAGACCCCATTGTCAGGCCCCAGATGGCCAGGTGGAGAGGCTGGGTACCAGGATGTTTGCAGCCGCAGTGGGGGTGGAGAGGTGAAGGGGCAGGAGAGGCACATGGATGACCCGGTAACCTTTGGTCTGTGTGTTTGGGTGAACGTAAGCCTGTTTACAGTGAACCACGGGGAGATTTTTCATCCTCCCAAATGGAACCAGGGTTATATAAGCATTGAGACCTTGCCCGGCAAACACCTGCTCCGGGGGGCCCAGCAGAGGGGGCCCAGGAGAGACGGAGCCCCCTGCTTCATGACGGTGAGGCTGTTCAAGCCAGGAAGAGGCTGGGAAGCGCAGGGGCTCTTCAGGAGGCTTAGATGGGGTTGCCATGGGACCCAGCTCCCTCCCCTGTACCCCTGTACTGATCCCTGCTAATTCCCGTGTGGAGGCCAGAGGTTAACACCCAGTGTCCTTCTCTACTGTCCGCCTTATTTTGTGAAACAGGCTCTCACCGAACCTGGACCTCGCGGACTCCGCTAGATGAGATGGCCGGGGTGCTTGTGTCTCTGCTCCTCCAGGGCTGGGATTTACAGACGTGTGCCACCACGCTGGGCTGCAGATGTGGCTACTGGGGATCAAACTCAGGTGCTCGACACGGATGAGCCTCCCTCCTGGCTTACCCTCCTGTTTTACCCAAATGACTCTTTGCAAGCTTCTGTTTGCCCTGCCCGGCTTGGCTGGCCCATGCTCCAAGCAAAACGGCCTCAGTGTTTCCGATCGCACGGACCAGGCCAGCAGGAGGCACGTTTAGAAAACGTGCAGAAAGCGGCAGCTCCCCTTCACCTCAGCCTTGGTGATTTGGGGGGTGGGGCACTTCCATCACCAGGGGTGCTTCCTTTGAGACTCTAGTCTTGGAGCTACAGAGAGGGCTCAGTGGTGAAGAGGACCTGGGTTTGCTTCTCAGCACCTACACCTTGGCTAACAACCATTCACAGCTCCTGTTCCAGGAGGTCTAACGTCCTCTTCTGGCCTCCTTAGGCATTGCGTGATACAGGTGCACCTCCGTGCAAGCAAAAAACCTCACACTTATAAAAATTAAGGTAAAAATAAAATAAGACCCTAGTCTTCTGTCTTTGAGGTTTGCTGTGACTACCTTAAGAGATAAACTGTTCTGGAATCCTAAGGCGGGCAGCCTGTGTTCATATGTCTTCCATGTTGCTATAACAAAACACCACAGGCTGGGTAATCTATAAACAACAGAGATTTTGTTTCCCATTTCCCTCACAGTTCTGGATTCTGGGAAATCCTAGTTGGCTCTACATCTGGCAGGGGCCTGGCCTTCGCTTCTAAAACCAAGCCTTAACTGCTGCATGCTCTGGAACAGAAGAAATGGACCCAACTCCCTCTCAAGCCGTAATCCCACCATGAGATCACTTCCTTCCAGACTTAGTCTCCTCCACCAGCCCCATCTCTTCCTCCTGTCATGTGCCAAGCAGCTTCCACACATGAATTTGGGGGGGGAAGAGTCAGGTCACAGCACTGTGTTCAGATGACCTGTTGGGATGGCAAACTGAACCCACTAATAAATTTGTGTGTGGCTTGATAGTTGTGTGTGTGTGTGTGTGTGTGTGTGTGTGTGTGTGTGTGTATGTGCCTGCAGGGTTGTTGAGTCTGTCTCCACCACAGGGTAGAAACACAGATGAGAGTTTAACTATGACCCAGAACTCTGGTTTAGATAATACCAGGCCAGAAAGAGGAAGGGAGGGAGGGAG